AGAGAAAATTGTATATAAAGGGTAACTTAGGAGGGTGGATGGTGGGGGATGGTGAGGAAGCATTGGTTAGTAAGATATTTGTGCTTATTGAAATCTAAGTATAACTGCACAATATTGCACTCTGCTGCAATGCAGTGTAACACATTGTGGTGCTTAGCAAGTTATCCATCAAAATAAACTTAGTCAGTTTGTTGTAATAGAATTAAATATAAACCTTTTATTATTTAGTGTTTTGAAAAGAAATTAAGAATAGACTGAATGAAATATTTCCTGCTACGCATCAAATGACTAGTTTGGGTATACGCAAAAAAAAAAATCCTTAAATTTTCTTTTCAATAAGTGCCTTTAATATCTTAAAAAAACCTGGATTAAATATTTCTAAATAACTCTGAAAAATCTGGAATGCTTTCACACGCTACCCAACTTGTACGCTACTGAATGATTGTCCATATTCAGTTCGTCAAAATCTTTAGTATAGCATTAAGCCAGCTATAACTAGGTGAGAAGAAGTGGAGTCCAGTATCAAACCAACCCCCTTAACTTTGCCATTATAAACATGTATTTCATAATATATTCAGATCAACATTATGGTCATGGTCCCCATTTATGAAGTCTAAAGACTTTTTTGGCTCATTAAGAATTTTATCTTTGGTTCAGTTGCGTCCCGTCCCGTATTGAGTATACATTACTTACTACTTGTAGTGATAACTGTTTATTCAATACCTACGAAATAAAACATAAATTTTGTATTAAATTTAAGAATATTGATCACTTACATGTACATGTAACTATAAATTCGTCTCTCGAGAGAATCGTATTGAATATAGTACGAAGGTGAAATCAGGAGGATACACGTTTTAAATCATTGAGATAAGTTTTACTTCCAATATTTAACAAGCTACACATGTACATTCTTCACCAATCAAAGGGAGTTTCAGAGAAATGAAAGAAAAAGTTTGTACTAATAACTCGTAGATACTAGCATATGTACAATGAAAATCGCAGAACATTTTCAAAGAAAAAAAATTGGGATGCAGCGGTCATATGGTTACTGAACAAGTTATTTATCCGACATAATTTTCAATTGCCTAAAAAAATATAAAGCGACACATACGAGGGGTTATCAAAAAGTTCGTGGACTGAGGCTATAAAATTAGTACTATATAGTCTGTGCTTTCAAAAATTAAAAGGAACATAACACAAAAAAAAATATAGAAAATTTAAGGTTGAAAATCTTAGCTTGATACGTCCATTATTTGCTAAATTATTATAAAAGCAAAACGACATTATATGATCACCCGGCGCCGTCGTCGTTTAGTTTCATGACGTCCGACAACGTCATTGTTTTTAAATGTCCGTTTCTTCTACCTCATATACTTATTTTGATTAGATTCCCTAGATATGAGTAAGGACTTAAACCCGTCTTGTTTATATGACTTTACAATGTCATAAACAGCGGCTTCCAATGCATATAATATTGATAATATTGCAAATGTATTTAGATCTATATATTGGGAGAGATCCTCGCTTGATTGTGCCAGCTTACTTTGCTTTTTGGAGTTCGATAGCTACAACACATGATCAACGTCATTTTTGACGTGATTGATTTTTCACACCTTAACTATAAATCGACATTAACTGTGCATCCTTTTCATTTCTGGTTCTATTTTGGCATTAAAAAGCACGTACTCAGGATACATCTTATTTCTCCGTAGCCAGTTTAAACATTTCCTAGGTCTATACCAGGTTTTTTTTTTGTCAGGGGAAAAAACTTTATAGAAAGTTGGGAAAGGAAACCCCTCCCTCCTTTTGACGTCATTTTCAAGGCCTTATTTGTTTGGACACCCCATGTAAAATTTACGATAGAACTTCCAGAATGAGGTAAAATTTCCATATTTAATGGAATAATTGTGACCCAACACATACCTGAGTTAACGGGATTTTTGAATGTCAAATGTTCATATCATAAGAGTTTTTTCTCAGTTAGACTAAGGTAAAAAAAAAAACCGTCGTGTTCGAGGTTGCGCCGCCTGCATATACTATTGCTTACAAAAACATTGCTAATTTATTAAAAAATAAAATTTATGACGTGGTTTAATCTACAGATAAAAAAGATGATGCTAACTAGATATTGTAAAATTTATTGATGTATCTAATTAAAGCGGTTTTAATTTTATGGCGCTAGTCCACGAACTTTTTGATACCCCCCCCCCCCGTATAAATATTTAAACAGATTTAAAGAAAAAAGAATTTGGGAGCATAACAAAGATCTGATTTTAATCAGATTGAACTATAAATTCTCGTGTAAGTTTAACGACCTCTGGTTTCTCCTATCTTAGACTATATTATAATATATTAATTTGTTATTTGTAGCAAGCTATACTGGCTTTAGGAAGCACATTGTCCATTCCCTTCATCTTAACCATTCAACTTTGTGCCAGTACAAACGCTGATGCTCGCGCCCAACTTCTTTGTATTTCCATGTTTATGTGTGGCGTGGCAACGCTTCTACAAACAACGTTCGGAGTCAGGTAAATGTTCTTGTTGGGTGGCCCCATTTTCTCCAGTTTATTGGAATAAAACCCATTTGAGCGAAACATACCTTATAATCAAACCTACATGTTTACAATATACTGCCATGATAAGTAAGTTAATTACCGAAACGACATTTGATTCCTTACAGGGAGAAGCGTTAAAACGTTTGTTTCCATGTATGTTTTTGAGTGTGTGTGGTAAATTGACAGTTCATCGCATCAAGTTCTATTTCACATTTATAAAATTCTTTAGCTAAATCTACAATAAGTTATTTTCAGTCTTGCAAAAATTGTCACTGCCTTTGGTGAATTTCTCCGAATGATACCGAAAAAAATTGTCTCTATCTTTAAAATGAAAATGATAGAGTGCTTATTTTTTTTGCCATAAAAAGTAATTAAAGAAAACAAACGAAATATGTTCGAATGTATTACAAAACATCAAAAAGTTATAAATAGATGAACATTCTCTTTCTATAGTTATTTTACAGATGTCTCAGACATTAGCCAAACACACGACGAAAAAATGAAAATATCGTCTTCTTTGTTTTGATTTTCTTCCCTTTCTTCTCATTTGTGAAATGATCTCTCTTCCCCTTATTTTTCTTCTGTAGAAGTGGGTGGAGCTTAGATTGTGTTTTTGCTATCTTGACAATGCTCAACATTTTACCACCAAATAGAGAATCGCATCCATTGGTAAACTGCATCATAAAAATGTCTTTCTCCTTGGTAGCATTCCCCTGGGCGTCATCTCCATGTGACTCAGATTTCTTAAAATTAAGTCCTTCCAGAAACAAAGGGCTCGCCATCATTTTGATGTAAGGATTTCTGTCATCTTTATTCTCTAAGCTTTGGTCATCTCTATGACTGCACTGGTCAGCAGCGACATTCTCCTCCTCATTGTCTTCTTCATGTAAAGTCTCGAGTTTAAGTTCAGATTTTTGCCGACTCCACTGCCTGTTGAAATAGTAATGCACAGCGTCCTCGGGAGCGAAGGGCTCAAAATAGGGCAATTTTCTTTCAAGCCATTCCACAAGTTGTCTCCCGTCTTTGAATTCTGGCTTTGTTCCATTTTCCCACACCTTTTCCGGTTCATTCACTGGCCCATCAGCATAGTCATCTGTCAAACTTACACTATCTTCCTTTTCAATTTCTTTTTCAATTAAAGATTCCATTTCGGGAAAGTATGATCTCTGTTTGCTCCAGCTCCGGAAAAAGTAGTGATGAACCGCATCACTGGATTCAAATTCCTCTAGATATGGAATTTGTCGCTCTAACCATTCTAGGTATGCTATACCGTCTTTGAATTCTGACCTAGTATTGTCATTCCAGTCACTTTCTGAATCTCCCAAACTTCCAAAATATTCCTTGCTCTTCTTGTACTTTTATTCCATTATGGTTTCACTGCTTACGACTTCAACGTTATGCCTCTGTTGTGAAGGTTGCATTCTTTCCTTATAAGTTATTGTGACGTCATAATACAAAGACGTCACCGTGATTGTGACGTATTTTCTTTTTCATTTATTTATAATCATACAATACATTCAATTACAAGGATCAATATTTTTAGTTATCTTGGAAATTTGACATTGTTTACACAGGTATTTTTTTCCAAGATGCATATAGTTTTCAATATATATAGAAAAATTCCAAAAAATAAATCAAAGCTGTAAAATTCTTGTAATCATAAACAGTAATGTATATTGTTGTACTAACATTTCATTTTATATATTTGTTAATATTTGAAAAAATAATCATCATATTAATAACATGTTTTTTTATATTTGATATAATCATCAAATTACAAGTACATCTGTATATGACCCTTGTTACAGTGGAATTTTGTATTAAAAAAATGGAGTCCATCAAATCACTGCCACTTGTACCGAGGGCCAGGTCACCCTCCAGTATGGGTCCTTCATTTACATGTGTGAATAAAATCATAAAGGTATTTAATTTCAGATCTAGAAGGAAAGAATTTTACATTTTTCTGACATGTATGTTTTAATCAGTCATAAAGAAATAACAAAATATTAGAGGATTATAAAAAAAGATATTCATTACAGCAACAGAAAGTGATTGTAAATTTAACATCTTTTCGTCTTATATTACGCTAACTACATGCATATGATAATTTAGCATTAGGCTTAAGAAATAGTTTCTTAAAACTTAATTGTTCGTTTAAAAAGCTTTTGTAAATTATTTTTTTTTTAATTTTCTCCCTTTAGTTGGCAGTTCGTAGGGTCGTATAAGTGGATGATTGGATCTTGTTAATGTTTTATGATTCATTGTCCATAACCCTTGGCCTCTTAAGATATTATCTAATTGTAGTTTCAGTGTTAACAAATCATCTAAATTGAAAATAAATAATGGCAAAATTGTTTATTTTGTGCAATATATTTTCACTTGTAAGGAAAAAAATCTATTCTTGTTTTTGAATTGCCCCTGTGAAATGTTATTTTTCAGGGTCTTTTCTGCGTATGTTTAACATTTTAAAGGCGTTCTACATGTAGAATTCCTAGTTTTACCAAAGCAGCATGCACCTAGCGACATTTAAACATTTCTCATCACCAAATGGAAGCCAATTCAAACGTTTTTGGGTCAAATTATCTGGAAACGCCCACTTCATTTATAAACAAGGAGTACTGTGAGCAATGAGTTCACTTAATGAATTCGATCCCATATGGTTGTGATGACAAAGTACATGTTTTGCTCTGGGAGACCCGTAATAAAAGCCAGATCAAAAAGTAAAATAGGAGGTCACAATGGCATACGTAATAAAGAATCTTTGAAAGTATAATTAAATTTTATTCGGTAGCATAGGAGGAGTTGATAAGAGATGGATACCCTTCAATATTATAGAAAAAATGGCAGTGCCAATGTTTTGCTATGGGAAACCCAAAATTTGTTACTGATCAAGAAGTAAAATAAGAGGTCACAATGGCATTTATGTAAAAAAGATTATGTGAAAGTCTCATTAAATTTCATTTAATGGTAAAACAGGAGTTGCGGATAAGAGATGGGTTCTCCAAAGACGGACGGACAAACGGACGGACATCCCAATCACTAGTTACCCTCCCTGCATTTTCAAAAGTGAGAGAGATATAAGACTTGACATTGGACCACGCTTTTTACGTCAAACAGAAGGCGGGATGAGCTATCGCAAACATGGAAACCATTGATGAGCTTACCTTTTTGTTTGAAGTTTTGTTGTGTGTAAAAGACATTGAACAAAATGTTTTGCATACAGACTTTTCGTTTTTCAGACTAGGAATCATACAGGGCGGATCCCACAATTTTATTGCCCCAATTATAGCTATGATGGCTCTCGACAAATGGAAGTGCACGGAGCAGGAGCTAAATGTTGACGGTAAGCTCGAAATCAGCCATCTACGTTTTAGAATTTCTCATACTTTTAAATGCTTTGTAAAGTCCTAAATTACATTTGCTATCAATATCTCAGACATTAATATTTTTAAACCACCTTTCTTTAACTCTACGTGAATCATGAATTTAAAAAAAAACAAGAAAAGTAAAACTTGTATTAAAGAATGTGAGTAAATAATTTTACAAAAACGTAATAATTACAAAACCTTTGAAGTTAAACAAATACATGTAATGTACAATATAGTAACTTTTATGGACCACTCACTGTATGTACCCTGTATGTGTATTTTAGAGTTAAATTACAATTCCACTGTCATCGACAAAGACGAAATTTGGCAGAGACGAATGCGAGAGGTAACTACATTGTAACATTTTTATTTTATGGACGAAATCACATGGATTAGCGAGCAGTAACCCCAGTGTGTTAGTTTGTAACTTGCAACTGAAGTAACGAAGGTTCTTTTCTCGATGGTTTCAATACTCTTTTAAAATAAAAAAAAATCATGTAGTTTGTCAATTTAGATATACATGTATCCTATTCAGAAGTTTCATCAAGAATGCAGTCTTGCAATCAATGAAACCTCTACCCAATACAAACAGATATCTGTCTTTGCAATAAAACCTCTACCCAATACAACCAGATATCTGTCTTTGCAATGAAACCTCTACCCAATACAATCAGATATCTGTCTTTGCAATGAAATCTTTACCCAATACAATCAGATATCTGTCTTTGCAATGAAACCTCTACCCAATACAACCAGATATCTGTCTTTGCAATAAAACCTCTACCCAATACAATCAGATATCTGTCTTTGCAATGAATACACAGAGATATCTACTGATTTTTACGAAAACTTTTCATTTAGTTCTATTTTCCACTTCTCGCTTAGATGTCATTTGATATCTGTAAGCACGCATACTTTTCATTCAAATATATGTAGTTTTTCTTCTCGGTAAGATATTTTTTTCAATCGGATATATAATGATTACTTCAGACAGGTTAGTGTGATTCTTTATTCTTGATCAGGTTTCTTTTTTTTTTTGCCAGAGCTACACTACTATCATCTTTGGTCTCACATCTCAATGGCTTTTTACCGTGAAATCAAACAATTTTTTTTGACAGATTCAAGGGAATTTGATGTTGGCCTCTATCGTGCAGCTGGTCTTGGGATGTACCGGTCTGATGGGTTTTTTCCTGAAGTTTATTGGCCCACTCACCATAGCTCCTACTATTTCTCTGATAGGCCTCTCTCTAACAGGCGTAGCAGCTGATATCAACAAGTACCACTGGGGAATAGCCATGTTGTAAGTGCAGATACTCAAGTGTAGTATCAGTGAATAGTTGTGGAGGTTTCTAGGTGTATTTGTTAGGACTTAAGCATAGGGTCAATGGTTAAAGCAAAGTCCAGACAATGTCGCGTTCCTCTCTGCTGCATTGTACAAGGTTTATCAAATAAATATACACAAAATTTTATGACATATTGTGCAATTTTATGCTGAAGTTGATTCCTTTAGCCAACATTAAATTTTTAGCTCACCTGAGCCGAAGGCTCAAGTGAGCTTTTCTGATCACATTTTGTCCGTCGTCCGTCAGACCGTCTGTCTGTCCGTCCGTCCGTCTGTCTGTCTGTCTGTCTGTCCGTCTGTAAACTTTTCACATTTTCGACTTCTTCTCAAGAACCACTGGGCCAATTTTGACCAAACTTGGTACAAAGCATCCTTGGGTTAAGGGAAAGGTTTATCAAATAAATATACATAAAATTTTATCAAAGTTTTACATAGAAATATATGTGCAATTTTATGCAAATTTTACATAGAAATATATGAAAAAGTTGAAAATTCCTTTAGCTGAAACATTAAATTTTTTTAATTTTGGCCAGTATATTTCATTTGAAGAATCTTATTTGGTTTTTCTTATCAGGACATTGGTGCTGATTGCGTTCTTCAGTTTATACCTGGGCCGCCTCAAAATTCCTTTACCAAGTTTTTCAAAAGCCAAAAAATGTCACATAACAAAATACCCAATATTCCAGCTCATGCCAGTGAGTGTTTTAGATCTTATTCTGGTATTATTATATTTCAAGAATTTACAACTGTCTATCTATTATAACATTATGCCTCATCTGGCTGTGATTCATTTTTTTAAGCCTTAATCTACACTTTGTAGGTGATCCTGAGTGTCGCCATCTGCTGGCTGCTTAGTTATATTCTTACCGTCACGGACGTCCTTTCTCCAACAATTGTCATCCAGAACAAATCCAGTCCAAACCTTGCGAGAACAGACGCCAGACTGGACGTACTTAATACCATGCCCTGGTTCTATTTCCCATATCCATGTACGTATCCAAGAAATTTCTTATTAATAATTTGAGTTAATAATATTCGCTTATAATGATTTCCCTCAAAAGCAACTCGATCGATTTCCACATTGACCAGCTCTAAAAATTCCATTTTTCTTAAGATAAATGTATGTATTTGACCAGAGTTTTGAATCTTCTCTTGTTCTAGTCCAGTTCGGCATACCCACGGCTTCGGTGGCAGGATTTGCGGGAATGCTTGCCGCCACCATTTCATCTGTGATCGAGTCTGTGGGAGATTACTTCGCCGCCGCTCGGCTGTCTAATGCCGAGGCACCGCCGCCTCACGCAGTCAACCGTGGAATAGCCACCGAGGGCTTCGCCAGCATCATCTCAGGCATGGTTGGAGCAGGACATCCCACTACTTCATACAGTGGAAATATTGGGGCTATCGGAATAACAAAGGTAAGCAATGTGAATGTAGAGGTTCAATTTGCACACAGTTTCTGTAACTTATGAATTCAAATATTGCAGGTACAAGTATTAGTATCTAAAATGTTACATGCAGTAAATAATTTATAAATTTTAATATTGTAGGTTGCTAGTAGGCGTGTTTTTCAAGTGGCTGGAATTATTCTTCTCCTGAGTGGCATTATTGGTAAATTCGGTGCGGTACTGACACTGATCCCAGATCCCATCATTGGTGGGACTCTGACGGTAGTGTTCGGGATGGTGGGAGCAGTTGGGATATCCGTGCTTCAGTTTATGGACATGTCGTCTACCAGAAATCTGACAATTCTAGCTTTGTCAATGATACTGGGGTTAATGATACCGCAGTGGTTACTTCAGAATCCTAATTCTATAAATACGGGTAAGAGAAACAATGCACCTCATTAATCACTATGCAATGTTCATCTGAAATCTGAAAATTCATATAGCGAATCTTTGATTCCATAAAAACTATATACTTACATTTTTAATTCAAGAATTATAAATCTAAGTCTGCAAGTCGCAAGACATAGCTAAGTTACACACAGCGAAAAATATGTTGATAATGTGTAGTGAAATTAGCTTTGAGAAGATACAACATAAATATTTCTTTATTTGTAGTTATATCTCCGATAATCAGAATTACAATTTTAAGTTCATATTTGACATGTTATTGTTTCCAGGAAGTGAGGATCTTGACCAGGTCCTTGAGGTCCTGCTAACTACCGCCATGTTTGTTGGTGGGGTCATCGGCTTTATTCTGGACAATACTGTTCCAGGTCAGCTTACTCTCTGTAGTCCGTATCAATTTTTTTCAAGTTGCTTTGAAATGAAAGCGCTAATTGAGTATTACATTTTGCAAAATTGTTTCAGGGTCAAAAGAAGAACGCGGGCTCTTAAAATGGCGGGAGACTTTAGACTTAAGTATGGAGAGAAGGAAACCAGTTCAATATAACATGCCCCTGGTTACAAAGTTATTGGAACGACTGAAATGTTGTAAATATTTTCCAATATCCCCAACCTTTACCAAAAGTCCTCTAAACTGTTGTAAGAAAAACAGGACTCAAAAGAAATATGAACCTGACATAGTCCTTACTGACACCAAACCTGTACAGCAAAATGGCGGCAGCGACTTTTCGGAGAGACTGTAGGGATGGTAATGGACTTGTATGGACATGTCCTCATCAAAATCAAAGTCAGTAATGACCTCAGGCAGCTAGGATATTGTTTTTCCCAGGGAATGACCAAGCAGTGTTGATATGTGCATGGAACCGTACAGTCATCAGATTCTGTATCATGAGGCGAATCTTTATCAGCTGCATGAATTATATTGTACTTAAACACAATTATATACATGTATAAGAAAATACAAAGTTTTAATTAATCGTTGATTTAATATTTAACCAGCTTTGATTTGAATGTCGAATTCTTCGAATTTCCTTCATAACTCGTACGTCTACCTCCTATAGTAATAAACCCAATTTTTGATTGATGTATACAGTATTCTATATGAATGTGAAATAATTACGGTCAGCTCAAAACTTTATATATAAAAAGTCATACCAGGTATTGCAAAAGAATATTGCTCTATTTTTAATTGAGGATATCCAGTACAATTGATGTAACTTTTAGGTTACGGTTAGTTTCAGTTCTCCATACCTTTCATGAGAACACATTCATGTAAGACGTACTCGGTGTTCGATTTGTGGTATGTACATACTTTACCCATTTGACGAAATTTTAAATTTTATCAGAAATGTTTGTGATATCTAAATAAAAAATCAAAACTGAGGCATTCTGGGTTTTTAGCTCTACTGGTCAGAGACCAGAAGGGCTTATGCAATAGTAATGCGTCCGTCGTCCGCCTGTCTGTCTGTCTGTCTGTCTGTCCGTCTGTAAACAATTTTTCAAAATGCTACTCCTCCTACAGTTTTGGTCTGATTTCAGTATAACTTTGCACACAAGTAGAAACTAAGATATATATCGGTTTTTGATTTCGATGAACGATGTTGCCGTGGTTACTAAAAATAGAAATTTTTGTAAAATTCTTTCAAAATTCTACGTCTCCTATAGTTTTGGTCTGATTTCAATATAACTTGGCACACAAGTAGACTACACTAAGATACATAATTCTGTATATCGGTTTTTGATTTCTATGAACGGTGTTGCCGTTGTTACTAAAACTAGAAATTTTTGTGAAAACCATTCAAAATGCTACTCCTCCTACAGTTTTGATCTGATTTCAATATAACTTGGCACACAGATAGACTACACTAAGATATATAATTCTGTGTATCAGTTTTTGATTTCGATGAACGGTGTTGCCGTTGTTACTTAGAAAAATTTGTGAAAATCATTCAAAATGCTACTCCTCCTACAGTTTTGGTCTGATTTAGATATAACTTGGCACACAAGTTTACACATAGATACATAATTCTATATAGCAATTTCAATGAACTAAAAATAGAATTTAAAAAAAAACTTTCAAAATGCTACTCCTCCTACAGTCTGATTTTATTATAACTTGGCACTCAAGTAGACTAAACTAAGATACATAATTCTTTTATGGGTTTTTGATTTCAAAGTACGGTGTTGCCGTTGTTACTAAAAATTGAAATTTCTGTGAAAAACATTCAAAATGCTACTCCTCCTACAGTTTTGGTCTGATTTCAATATAACTTGGCACACAAGTAGACTACACTAAGATACATAATTCTGTAGATAGGTTTTTGTTTCAATGAACGGTGTTGCTGTTGTTACTTAAAAAAGAAATTTCTTTGAAATACATTTAAAATGCTACTCCTCCTTCAGTTTTGGTCTGATTTCAATATAACTTGGCACACAAGTAGACTACAGCAAGATACATAATTCTGTGTATCAGTTTTTGTCATTATTCTATTTATTGCTTTTGTAAAGTTTTATATCCCAACTGTTACTTTTCTCTTTCTTTATTATAAGTACAAACCAGTAGAACTTCAGTCTCGACAGAGACTTCTGGTTTTTTTTTTGTGATATTATCTTTCTTTAGTGTTTTACAAGGAACACAATTATGAAGTACAATGCAGTTGTATTTGGCTCTCTGTTGCATTGTTTGCCTGAAAAGAAGGTTTTATCCTTAACAAATATTTTGCATTTTGACACTATATACACTGAGGTAAGAAAATGACAAACAAGTAGATAAAACAACACTTGATTCCGTAAATTATTGATATTTATTTCATTAAATACCGGAATTATGATATTACTTCATCAACATTCAATATGTGGAGAGGGCTTATATAGACTATGCCTGTTGTCCAATCCATTTATGCATTTATTACATAATAAAATATGATCACATCAAATCAAACTCCATCAACAATAGAGTCTTCACTAGCATTGTCTACCTTCAGAGGCTGTGGGAAAATGTAGAGCCGTTTCATGTAACCATATACTGACACGCAAAAGAAACGCAACACCCTACTTTAGGGGGAAATAATTATGTAAAGTAAAGAATTTTGTATCTTAAAATTATGGATATCTTCAATATGGTAAACATCGGTAATTTAACGGTTAAACGATTTTCATACCATAACCGGAAGTCAAGTTTGAGTCTGCTTAACAGAAACCAAAAAATGCATGTTTAACAAAACATTTGGCATTATTATGGAGTTTAAAGGGTTTTTTACTTTCATCATAAGTAATGAAGCAATATTTCAAAAAATAAACTCTCCTTTTGTTTCCCGTAACGATGCTAAGGCTACTTGAAAATGGCTTATGTACGCATTTCCATTGCTCTAGCTGGAAAATTTTAACTTAAAGGTGATGGAGAGCTGCTGATGCGAAATTTCACTACATTACGCCTCAACAGGGTCTTACGTATCATATGCATTCAGGACAGTCCTTTACCGGAAGTCCAAGGGTGGCTACACTGCTCTACGTCAGAGAAAATTCGACCTAATCATCTGAAAAACGGGATTTTAAAAATGCCAAAGAATAATTTCTTCGCTCAGATCACAGGGGCTTGTCACGAAATATTTATCTTCTTTTAATAAAGTTACCCCTACTATAAAAATACAGGTGTATTTTTATAGTAGGGGTAACTTTATTAAAAGAAGATAAATATTTCGTGACAAGCCCCTGTGCTCAGATCTCGATATTAATGAACCTATTCTATCGTAGAAATTAAGCTGCAATTGTTGTTTTGGGCAGTCCTGCACGTTTTACTTGAATGGCTGGGAGGGGGGTGTTTTGACAGTCATATTTTACGTAGTAAAGTAAACAGATAAACATTTAACATTTTCATCAAATCTCTGATGTTCTGAAAAGTAAGTTTAGCCTCACTTTATGTACGTCTACAGTACTTGTAATATCTCTTGTATAACTTTTATCATTCTGTTTATGTATGTTATAACTGTAACAAAATTGTAATACCTCTTTTACAATGAAGCGCATTGAAGTGGTAAAATTTTCTGTTTGAATGAAACGTTCTGAGTCATGTTTTGAACGTCAATTATAACATAATGACACGCCCATTTCTTTAGAAACGAAAAAGAAATATTCGTCTATTGTCCAAGGACACCCCGCTCTTCGTGACAAGCAACATGAGTTACACCGAAATGGAGCTTTAAAAAAATTAGAAGAAAGAATCAGAGACTCCCCGCTTCTGTAAAACTCAAATTGCAACGAATATGTACATATTTTTGAACTTATCATGTCTATTGAAGTTACCACGACACATGTTTCGGTCGAACACGTGTTTACTCGGTGTTTATTTAGACCGTCAATTTGATTGGCTATTATATTTATAGAAAACCTGTTCTACGGGTATTCGAATAAACAAATTGACCGTTTTATCCATTTCTAAAGAAATGGGCGTGTCATAAGCGTGTCATAAGATGACAATAAACGTTCTAAAGATAGCTCAAAACGTTCCATTCGAACGGAAAATTTTACCACTTCAATGCGCTTCATTGTATAACTGTTATCATTCTGTTGCCTGGAGGCTCTTGCTTTGTCACATTCTCACAACTCTCTGGATCCATTACCATCTGGACTTTGGTTATTTCCTATTTAATATTCTCCCACTTATTCTCTCTTGATTCCTGTCTTGATGCTGGATCAATCTCTGGAAGATTTTGTTTAAGTAATTCATTACTCTTTTTGTATGCTGTCCGTTCCTTCTCTGTAGGCTGTGTCAGTGTTATCTCCAAATCTGCAATACCTAGAGGACTTTGCTCAACTGGTAACTCCGGCATTGTCAATTTTTTTTCTTCCATGAGATATTGTCTTGTTGTTTCAATTTGTTTTCCTCTTTCAGACCTTGAGTATGTGCTTCCTCCTTCTCTTCGGTTTTCTTTTCCTCTGTTAGGTTTTGAGTTTTTGACATTTGCTTTTATTTTCTTTCTTCTTTCAAGTCAAGAGTGTGTGCAATCTCCAGCTTTTCAGATTTCTTTTCTTTTTTCAGATGTTGAGTATATACACTGAGCCAAACTTCTAAGTGTTCACCCAAGGTTTTCTTAGTTTTAATGAACACAATTAGTAATTTCTTTAATTCATAGTTAATGATACTAGTACTTATTTCATTGTCATGATACATAAACTTCATGTAAATAAGTCGACATAATCCTCAGCAATAAGTCAAGAAACTGGTATACCCTCAGAATGAAAATTCACAGAAAACAATCAACATGGAGCTCTAACTACAGCAAGACATTGCTTTCTCATTGATACAATATATCTCTGAATAGTTTGCTGACGTATCTGCTGTCATACCTGCTGTACGGATCTTTCTAATGCGTTGATGTTGCGCGGAGGAGAGAGAGCTTTAACATTTCTTTTGACCAAGTCCCAAATGTGTTCTATCGGATCCGGGGATTTCGTAGGCCAGGACAGCACACAGATGTTGTTCATTACCAGAAATTGCTGGGTTGTTCTGGCACTATGACAGGGGACATTATCCTGCACCAAAACCATGACTCTGTTTCTTGCAACATGCGGGACAAGAACCGGTCTCAGAATGTCATTTTAGTACCTTGCTTCTGTGAGACCACCGTTAGCACAAATAATTGGAGTTTTCGTGTACATTGACATTCCTCCCCATACCATGAGATTACCGCCGCCACCAAATCTATCCATCTCCTCAACACAGGCCGCACTAAGACATTCTCCTCGCCGGCGGTACACTCTTTTCCTGCCATCGTCACTCCGTAGCTTAATTTTAGTTTCGTCCACAAATACAACATTTGCCCAGTCTGCTCTAGTAAGTTTGAGGTGTCTTCTGGCCCATGCAAGAGGTGCAACTCGATGCCTTTGGGTTAACACCAAAACCCTCCTTGGACGTCTTGCACATAAGTGTACCTCTTTGAGGCGGTTTCGCACTGTCTGGGATGATATTGAACGACCATGGGTACCATTTGTTTTTCTTGCAGTTAAAGTTGCAGACTTAAATCTGTCTTTTAAGTGGTTGAGAACCATGTAACGGTCCTGAAACTTTGTTGTGACGCGAGATCTTGGCCTTCGACGAAGATCCTGAACACTTCCGGTTAGGTTAGATTAGGCCCAAAGCTTGCGAATTGCTGTAAGTTGTCGGTGAAAATGACGCGCAACCTGTAGAAAAAATGGATAAAACTGACATTTGATACTGGTTGTCAATTTTTAAAGATGATATCAGGGTCAAATAAACATCAAAATAAAAATCAGTACAACCTGTCGTAATGACGATCCAGATACCAGCATTCCCAACGGCTCTTGCTCTTTCCTCAATGGACATTCTGCCCATGTTTTAAGTTTTTCATTAAAACACTCGTTGA